TAGGAAGAGTCTTTGTGGCTTTCATGGTAGTTATAAGCATTGCCTGGGTTCCCATAATAGTAGAAATGCAAGGAGGCCAGATGTACCTTTATATTCAAGAGGTGGCAGACTATTTGACTCCACCAGTGGCTGCTCTGTTTCTTATGGGTATCTTTTGGAAGCGTTGCAATGAGCAGGGGGCGTTCTATGGTGGAATGGCTGGGTTTGCTCTGGGAGCGATACGGTTGGTACTGGCTTTTATCTATCGTGCTCCAGAGTGTAACCAGCCGGATACTAGGCCCGGCTTTATCAAAAACGTCCATTACATGTATGTTGCTACCGCTCTGTTCTGGATCACTGGAATTGTGACCTTCATAGTAAGCCTCCTAACACCGCCGCCTACAAAGGAGCAGGTTCGAACGACCACTTTTTGGGCTGTGAAAAACAGAAATGTAAAAGAGAATACTGCAAAGGGGGAGCTGTACAAAGTGCAAGAAAAGAGCATCTTAAAATGCAATGAGAACGCTAATCACATCATTCCAAACGGCAGATCTGAAGAAAATCTTAAAAATATTAAGCCTGAGGATATCAATCTTCTGGTAACTTGCAGAGATGACAGCAACCCAGTGATTTCTCTAAGTCACTCTGAAGTCGAGACACCAGTTGATTGTTATTCGAACGGACAAGCGGCTTTGATGGGTGAGAAAAAGCACGAGGAAGAAACTGATGATAGCGAGAGACATTTGAAATTCATAGATTGGTTCTGTGGCTTTAAAAGTAAAAACATGAACAAGAGAGCTGTTCGGGAGATCGAGGAAGAGACTGTTTGTTTACAAATGCTGGAAGAGACTCCAAAAGTTAAACTATTACTAAATACTGGACTGGTCTGTGTCTGTTCGCTTGGAATATTCATGTTTGTCTATTTCTCTTTGTGAGTGAATAGTGAACTTTTAAGGGTATGGCTAAACATACAGAAGTTGATACAGGTCTCTGGAGTTTTTTTTTTTTTCTTTTCTTTTCTTTTTTCTGAATAACATAACCGCAACCCAGGCATTGTTTACGCTATAATTGTCAAATCAACTTTAGCCAATTTAGAGACCATTTGAGACATGTTGTGCTATCTCTGCTGAAGGCAGAGATACTGTTGTGTACTGTCTCTTTTTCCTTTTTCCCTTTTGGTCCCTCCCCCCCCCATATGCAGTACTAACCTTTTTTCTTTCCAGGTATACATAAATAAATATACCAAAGGCAGGCAGGTGGCTGTGTTTGAGGTCAGTCAGTTACAAAGCTCAGTCAGCATTGAGGTGAAGACAAGAAGTAATCATTTACTTAAGTGTAAAATCTAAATGACTAAAGCTGTGTTGGAAGACTTTAAATGCAAGACTGATGCACATCATTGTACAGGTGTTCTTTGTTATGTAGCTGTATTACCTTGGCCAAATTAACGCTTACTAATTTTGCTCACTGCTTCTAGTTGTTTTTTTTTTTTTTTTCTAGTTTCTCAGTTCTTATGGGAACAATAATATTTTGTTTCATTATATAGTATTTAGAACATGATATCTGTTAGCAGCTTTTTGCCATTTTTCTCTGTAAGGAAAGGTTTGTCTAACTTTTGATTTTAGCCGCTGTAAATGCCATTATAGAAAAATTGCTATATTTAAGAAAAAAAGGAAGAAAAAAAAACCTGGAGAGGATAAACGGGCAGTTGAGGAGAGTGGGAAAAGAATATTCTCTTTACTTGGGTTTTGTAGTACATACAAATGCAAGAATATATATTCAACACCTTCTTCAGTCCCCAAACCTTTAGCCTTGTTTTTCCATTTACATAATTAGGGTTAGCTGCTTATTAGGGAAAAAAATTACACATACCTTCTACCATGTGGAAAAAAAGAGATGTGTGAGGCTAGCCTTTGCCTATCCTTGGTTTGGTAAACACACTGAAAAATAACTCTTCTCCTTTGCTATGTGTAGCTAAAGGAAGTACTCTGCAACCCTGTCGCTGCCACATAGTGAGTCTGTGTGAGGGGAGGAAAAGTGGGAAAGAGGTGGAAGTGGTCCTTATTTTCCAGAGTCCTTTTACCTATTGTCTTCTCCTGCTTCCCCTCTTGCCCCATATCACACCTGTTTTTAGGAGTGACTAGTGAGGGATTCTGTGCGGGAGATAGAAAGCGAACGCTGCAGTAGTCTGCGTTGTTGCTGATTGAGGTCTTTGCAAAAAGTGAAACTTTTCCCAGGCAAGCACAGAAGATGAGAGGTCCTGAGGTACTAAAGTTCCTTTTTCCCAAAGGATGGATAGCCAAGGCGGTTTCCACTTCTACAGGACTTCTGTGCGCAGATAGCTAATGGAGTTCAGCAGACTGAAAGGCTGCAGCACTAGGTCCTAAATCTTCTCTTCAATTTCTCTTCCACTTCCCCTTTGTAAAATAGCGTGCCACCATCCTGGATACTCTCATCCTTACGATTGAGCAGCACTTTGAGCTCAGTAGCCCTGACTTACTGAAGCTTCTGTCTGGCTACATGTGTTTTCGCAAACTAAACAAAGTGAGGACCTGTTCTCCGGCCTTGAGAGCAGCTGACACAGTCTGGCCACACTGTTAAACTCTCTCAGCCTCCAAAACGGAGTGGTCATATCCAGGCTGCCTTTGAGAGGGATACCTGCAGTTGTCTTAACTCCTGAGCTTGTCTTGGGAATTGTTTGGGAGAGTGCCCACTGGAGAGCAGTGCGGGGGACCCTGCTAACAGTTTATTAGCGTAAAAGAGTCCCAGAATGTTTCCCTGGCGCTAATTTGCTAATATATACAAGACCTAAACCCTAGTGGGTGAATTAGTTCTGTGGAGATTGAATTTGGGTAATTCCTGCCATTGACTGCTGGAGAAATTTTGTTTTCCAGTATAGTGGTCCTGTAAGATATAGGCTGTCTAAATAGCTTTTGGTAGTATGATATGCAATACACACTATCAGATAAACGGGCTAACTTCCAGTTTTGTGTTTGTGTGTGTTGTGTTTTTGTTTTTTTTTAAGCAAACGAGTCCTGTTATTTCTGAGGTTTTAAACAGAGGACAAGATGTCCCACCTTTCTCTGCTTTATTTAGTTGTTGCCACTGGAAAATAGAATACTGTAGCTGGAAATACGGTAGTAAGTGTAGGAGCTGTATTGAAATAAATACATGTGGCAGAGGAGAGAAGAGTTACCATACCTGAGTCTTGATGTTAATATCGGTGTGACAAGACGCATCTTCTTACGTTTGGTGTGGCTGGCTTCATTCAGAAAAATAGTTTTGAATCCTTTCTAAAGATCAAATTCTAGTCTGTGAAATACAATGTCAATGGAAACTCAGGTCCATTCATCAGTGGAGTGAGGTAGGGAAGGATGATCCTGAAAGCAGAGAGAGTAAAACGTAGTTAACTTTCTGTGTGTGATGAAGTAACCTAGGGCAAAACATGTCTGATCCCTGTGGGATGAGGAGTAACAATTTGCGGAGGGTAAGAAGAAGTATCAGAGCAGCAGTATCTTCTTAAAAGGCTATGATCTGGCTAATATGCCTAGTTTGGTACAGGGAAAGA